CACAATGCCAACCATCTAGCCATCCCTCCACAAGCATGTCTGACATCTTGACTTAGCACTCTTCCTTTCTTGCTGTGATCCAGCCGCTCAACTCCTAACTATTCCTTAAACCATGGGTTTTCAAACTTTTTAAACAGAGGGCCAGTTCACTGTCCCTCAGACCATTGGAGTGCCGGACTATAGCTTTAAAAAAAAACTATGAACAAATTCCTATGCACACTGGACAAGTCGGCTGTTAAGCAGGACAGGAAGCGGAGGCAAAAACACCCGGCGGGTCAGATAAATGTCCTCAGCATGTGGCCCGCGGGCCACAGTTTGAGGACCCCTGCCTTAAACACACACTACTATGTGTCTATTTCGGTGCCTGGCAAAAAAATTACTGCAGATAACGACATCATTCCTGTCTTCACCTCCTTCAGAAATCTTTCTTCAAATGTCATCTCTGCTGTTGGGTTGTCCCTGGCCTATTTTGAATGGCAAGCCTACCTCTGTAGGCAGGGCTATTTGTGATGATGACTGTTTTACCCCAATGGAGTAATCTTGATAGATCTTCTCAAAAACACGATGATCATAGGAGCTTATAGATAAAGAAGTTTTAAGAAAACTGCACTATGGGTGTCTTAGAAGCAGCACTGGCAGAATGTTTCTTAGAAGTGAGGATGGCTTTGGACATGTTATCACATACTTTGGACATGTTATCAGGAGGGACCAGTTAGTTCCTCCTGGAGAAAGACATCATGCTTGGTAGAGGGTCAGTGAAAAAGAGGAAGTCGCTCATCAAGGTGAATTAACAAAGTGGCTGTAACCATGGGCTCAAAGGCAGCAACAGTTCTGAGGATGGCACAGGACTAGGAATTTTCCCCTGTGGTAGTACATAGGTAGTCTATGAGTAGGAGCTGGTTCCTGTTATCAAATAACACGTACCTGGGAAGAACCCAGAATACGTAAACACACTAAACTTAACGAAGTAAACCATGCAATCAAACTAGGAGGAAAGGGCTTAACTAGGCTTTGCACCAAAAAATTAAAACAAAGAACTATAAGCAAAAAATGCTCAACATCATTAATCATAAAACAAAAGCCACTGCCACCACCTTCCCTTACAGTTGATTAGATTCACAGCGACCCCTGTGAAGTGTCACTGGGCTGTACAGCTCTACAGGTGCAGATAGCCTCTCCTTCTCCTTTGGAGCAGCCGGCGGGGTTGAAAAGTGGCCTTTAGGTTAACAGTCCTCTGCCTGCTGAACAAAAGGACCACCAGGGTTCCATCAAAACCAGTGAGATACCACTTCGCCCCCCAGCACCCATGTCTTTGAATGGAAAACAACAGCCGTGGAGGAGGCTATGTTCCTCGGTCCATCAGTGGTGACTTTACTGTGGAAAATAGTCCAAGAGCTCCTTGAAAGGCAAAGACGTAATCACCACGCTGCTGCTTTAGCTGAGGTACGTCAACCGGGACTCCTGGGCAGAACTGCACCCTGGGTTTTCAAGGCTGTGCCCTCCCAAGAGCAGATCTCTAGGACTACTGGGGCTCCTCTGGGTGGGCACAACCCCCCAACTTTCGAGCTAGCAGCTGACTGTTTAAACTATTTGTGCCAACTAGACACTCCATAGACTCCTATGGTCCAGCAGTTCTACTGCAATTTACATACTTCAGAGATTGACAACAGGAAGAGCGATACCTAAGACACCAGGATTCATTGTAGCAAAGAGCAATAGCAAATTCACATTTGCAAAACAGTAGAAACAATCTAAATGTCCAACAAGATATCAACAGATACACAAAATATGGGGTGTAGATTAATGGAATACTATCCACCATAAAGAGAAATGAAGTGCTGATATTCTGCAACCTGGATGAACCTTCAACACATTATGCGGAGTGAAATGAGTTAGTCACAAACGGACAAATCTTGTATGACTGTTATATGAAATATCTAAACTAGGGCAAATGTATAGAATTCAAACTTTAGTAGTGGGTACCAGTGCTTAGAACAATGAGCTTCTACAAGAGTCATGGAAAATTTTGAAAAGACAGTGGTACTGGTTGTATAATCAACACCATGAACATAATTATTGCCATTACATTGGACATGCAAAATATGTTGAAGGGGTCAATGTTTTGCTACATACATACCTATTATAAGGAACAAAAACCAAACAAACCCCCAAACAAAAAACAAGAGGTGGAGAAATGGGAACTCATATATTGCTGGTGGGAATAAAATGGTACACATTGGAAAACAGTTCAGTAGTTTCTTCAAAAGCTAAACACAACTTGATCATACAATCCAACAATTCCACTCCTGGTTATACACCGAGGAGGGGGGGAATTAAAAAGTCCATTGTAGAGCCAGAAAGTAGATTAGAATACTGTGATTAGCACAGTGGTTGCCTGGGATTGAGGGTAGGAATGGGGGACAACCTCAAATGGACATGACACATCTTTTAAGAATGATAGAAATTGGCTCTATACTTGGATTGTGGTGAAGAATGAACCACTGTAAACTTAGTTAAAAAAAATCACTGAATACTTAAAACAGTACATAATTATAACACAATAGTTTGAAAAATGAAAAAATTATGATAAATGGAAAAAGAGCCAAACACAAAAGACCACAAACTGTTTCTCTTCATAGAAATGTACAGAAAAGTCTAATCCATAGGTAAGGAAAGTAGATCAATGGTTGACTGGGGCTAGATGTGGGAATAGGAATGAACTGTAACTGTAAACAGGCACAAAGTATCTTGCTGGAGGGATAAAAATAAAGCTGGATCCGGTATATAACACAGTAAATAAATAAATGAATTGTACACTTAAAATGGGTATGACTTACAGCATTTAACCATACCTTAATAAATTACTGTTAATTGGTTTTAATAAGGTGATCAAAATCACATGGGTGTTCCGCACCATTTATGAACAATGGACCACTTGGAGACGATGAAAAGCCACCTATCCTGGAGGACTGATAAAACTCCTGGAGGACACCAAATTAATTTATCCCTAAAATCTCTATGCTGTGAAGTTCTGTACTGCCTTACCAGCAAAGGTATTGCAAATGAGCACAACTAGAAAGATGTGTACTCTACCCAGGAGTAAAACAAGATTGCTCTTCTAAAAGAGAAATAGAGACGACCTTTCTTTAACTTCTTTACTCTTCATTCTGGAATCTCCTCCTTAATCCCTTTCTTCACAACGTGCCTCTCAGCACAAGGGCCTTGGAAGCAATCAATCAAAACCAAGTCCTAGCCAGCTGTCTTTAGAGCTACACCAGTCTAAGTCAAAGATCCAGCATGCAGCAAGAATATAGCCCCCCCCCCCC